TTCGAGCACAATGATGTTGTAGATACACACATAAAACACTTCAAATCTCTATATACACATGTGCAGGCACACATACATACTCCACTTTACATCTCCTCCTTAGACTCTTGCAAATTTCACCAAAATTATTCTTTGGTTCTTGTATTTGAGCTTTCATTTAGATAAAAGCTATTAAGACTATAAGGTTTACAGTGCAGATAATGTTATGTTGCAAGTTATTTTTAGATGCCAAGTACTTTGCAAATACAATAATGAGAAAATATCAATTTCAAAGGTTTACCCAACATACAAGAAAAGAGTTTAAAAGGAAGGAAGATAAATACATCTAAAGGATCTCTAAAGAACTGGTATTACGTAAACTATGAGGAAGCTGAGAAATGATATTCTCAAAGGAAAAAATAGGGCAGAGCAGAAAGCTACTTTAATCTGAACTACAAAGAATTATAAGATAATTAAATTTATTATTTTTAGAGATGATACTTTTAAAGTTGCAAAAAAATCTTCTGGTCTTATTAAAAAGAATAAAATTAATAGGAGTAACTTGTCCTTATAAAACTCTGGAAAATTTAGGAAAAATAAATTAAGAAATAATTTTAGTATATGGAAAATTATTGAAAGATCCCATACATGAGAAATAAATGTACATAATATATGATGTGAAAAGAAAACTTAAGCAAAGATGATGATTTTTAAAAATATATATTCTTATGTAAAGAGAAGAATGTGGAGTTGTACAAAAAAGCAGAACGGACAGGTGGTAGTGAGTTTAAAAAGTCACTTTAGGAGCAAACTGGACTGGGCTGTTAAATAGCAAAGCATTTTCCCATTTCTAAGATGTTAGGACAATATGTAGGTAAAATTTTTATTGGAAATAAAATATGATCAGGGTTACAAGACAACAGAGGAGCAATGCCAGTGATTTTTTAAATGCAGCAAACTATAAAGGAGGCAACACAGGCCAAACAGCAAGTTGCAAGTACATAGGAGATGATTGCAATGTCTCAAATAAATTAATGGGGCAGCCACAGGCAGCAAATAGGAAGAGGAGGCAACAGTCGAGCAAACTCAGTCAGCAGTCTAACTCAGTGGCACAAGGCAAGTGTAGATGATAGCAGAAATGCTAAACAATCTCACCTACTTACAGTGTTACAGGTATAGATTGGGCAAGGCAAGATCAGGCAGGCAGATGGCGTAGCACTTGTTAGGCCATAGTATAGGGGAATTGTAGGGGAGCAGATAGATAATGCTGGGCAGTCTAAAATGCTAAAATGGCAGATGGATACGGCAGTACCAGGCCATTTGCTGATGGACAAAGTACCAGTGAGTGAAGAATGCAAATCATTCAGCAGATGAGTGAAGTGAGGCAAAAAGGAGAGACAAAAACCAAAGGCAATCAAGCAGGAAGACAGAACGGTAGAGAAACAATGACAGATCATCAGAAGCAGTTGTATAGGGTAATAACAAGCTTTCAGCAGAGGAATAAAACACCATTCAGGAAAAGATGAGATTGAGAGTGAGGCAGTCCCCTGAACTGGGTGTCTTCCATCTAGGATACAGTAATCAATAAACTGCAAATGAGAATCCACAAGAGAACAGCACACAAATGGAAATAGCAGATGGATCTGAACTCTATTGCCCAGGGATACAGAATGACCCTAGAACATAGATACATAGCAATCCACAAAGAAATTAAACAGATGTGAAAAATGGGTCCAAGCATTTTTTATGATGATAAAAGAAACCAAAACACTAAAAATTATTAATCTGAAAATGATTGGCTGGGATTGAAGTCTTCGCTTACCCCTTTCTGGAGCCCACAAAATGGGAATGTTGGGAATTTCTGCAGCAGAAAAACAGAAGAGAAAAGGGATTTCTGACTCCCAGTTTGAGGAAAGCAGGTCAAATTTAGGGCTATATGAACTGGTTCAGGGAAATAAGAACCAGCCTGAACCTTCTCCCTTCCTCAGAATGAAACCATTTCTGAGTTATGGGAAAGGTTTAGGAAGCCCTCACCCCATCATTCCCCACAACCTCCCCTTTCACACTTACCTCCAATGCAAACAGTTTCCAGCAAGGAGGTACTTGGAAAAATTCACTCTTATGTTTACACCATGGCAAAATGGGAAGATGGTCAACTAATGGTACTTCCTGTGTAGGTCGGGCTTCTAATTCAGTGGGATCCCTTCCACTCTTTGTGAATGAGCAGAGGGGACAGATTACTAGAAACTACCTACCTCTTTGAAAGTGGATGAGAAACAATCAGGGGCAGTAATGTCAATCAACAAATAGTAATATCAGTAAATATCTTGGTGATCTCATCAATTGTCATGGATTTTAATTCCATTTATATGTTGATGACTCCAAAAATAATATTTCTAGCCCAGATTTTCCTACTGAAGTCTAGATACATATACCTAATATCTACTTTTTTGGGGGGCAGGGGGAAGGAGTCTCACTCTGTCGCCCAGGCTGGAGTACAGTGGCACAATCTCAGCTCACTGCAAACCTCTGCCTCCTGGGTTCAAGCAATTCTCCTGCCTCAGCCTCCTAAGTAGCTGGGATTACAGGCGTGCACCACCACGTCTGGCTTTTTTCTTTTCTTTTCTTTTAGTAGAGACAGAGTTTCACCTGGTTGTCTAGGCTGGTCTTGAACTCCTTACCTCATGTGATCAGCCCACCTCAACCTCCCAAAGTGCTGGGATTACAGGTGTGAGCCACTGTGCTCAGCCTCATATACCTAATATCTAATTGCAATTCAATATCTCCACTTGAATACCTAAAGGAAGTTCACATTTCCATAACCAAAGTAAAATTCTTGATCTTCCCCCTCAAACCTACTTTTCCCATAGTCTTCTCCATTTCATTAAATGGAAACTACATCCTTTTAATTCCCAAGTCAAGTCTTATACCTGACTTCTCTCTTTATCTTATTCTATCTGTTTACCTCTCCCTTCAAAATATATCAATAATCTACTTCTCACTACCTCCACCTTAATCATTGGTCTAAGCCACTGTCATTTTCCACCTGGGTTATTTTAATAGTCTCCTAACTTGTTTCTACATTAAAATATGTCAGTTCATGCCATGCCTCTACTCTATTATACTAAGGGTGGCATTCAGGTTCCAGATGATCCATGGCTTCCTCTTTCTCCTCCTTTAGGTCTTTGTTCAAATGTCATCTTATCAATGAGGCCTTCCTTAATGGATGACCCTATTTAAAATTATAACCCTCTTTCCCGCCTGGGCTACTATCCTCCCTCCCTGGTTAATTTTTACACATAGCACTTACCATCTCCAGTACTATACAGTTTACTTGTTTTTTTAATAGTTTGTATCCTCTCACTAAAATGTAAATTCCATAAAGGTAGGAACTTTTGACTTATTAGCTCATTGCTCTATCTCAACATCTGAAACAGTGCCTGGCATGTATATATCTATATCTATATCTATATCTATATCTATATCTATATCTATACCTATATCTTGTAGGCTTTAAGTACATATTTGAGTCCATGAAGCATTAACTTCTTATGGGGCTTCCTCTCTCAGTCTCAAATTTTCAGAGTATTCTTCTGAAAGCTCACATACTATGAGCTTTTAGATTAACAGAGCAGATGCTAGTGCACTATAGAACAGGAATGTTCTATAACAGGGTTGGCAAACTACAGCCCCAGGGCCAAATCCTGCCCATTTCCTGTTTTCGTTTTTTTTTTTGTATGGCCTGCAATCTACAAGTGATCTTTGTATTTTTTAATGATTCAAGAGATAATCAAAAGAAGAACAGTATTTCATGACACATGGAAATATATGAAATCTAAATTCAGTGCCCATAATAAAGTTTTGTTAGAGCACAGCCAGGCTCATTTATTTATATCATCTGTGGCTGCCTTTGTGCTACAGGTCTGGCAGAGTTGGGTAATTTTGACAGAGACCATATGCCTACAAAATCTAAAAAATTTACCATCTGGCCCTTTTAAATAAGTGTGCTGACCCCTGTCCTATAGTATTTTATATTTAGAAGGCAAAGAGTAATAATTAAACTTTAAGCAATCATACACTAGAATTTACTGTTAATATTGTTGTTACTATTGCCCATAGTAAATGTTTGGGGGAATGTATACTTATACTAGGATTTGCTTTCAATATTATTATTATTATTAATTTTATTTTTTATTTTATTTTTGAGACAGTGTCTTGCTCTGTTACCCAGGCTGGAGTGCAGTGGTGCGATCTTGGCTCACTGCAATCTCCACCTCCCGGGTACAAATGATTCCCCTCCCTCAGCCGCCTGAGTAGACGGGATTACAGGGGCATGTAATCATGCCTGGCTAATTTTTCTGTTTTTAGTGGAGATGAGGTTTCACCATGTTGGCTAGGCTGGTCTCAAACTCCTGACCTCAGGTGATCTGCCCACCTCGACCTCCCAAAGTGCTGGGATTACAGGTATGAGCCACTGCACCTGGCCTGCTTTCAATATTATATACAAGTAGCCTCTCATTCCTCTAAATATTATTTATTAAAGAGGGTGATATTCATTCATCTATCTACCCCAGAGAGCAGTCCCATCTTGAAGGGACAAAGTACAATACCAGTAAGTCTTAAAAATGGCAAAATGGGAGAGAATGAAAAAGGAAGTAAATAGGGCCCATAAAGGGAACTTATATCAAAGTATCACACAATTAACCAAACTTCTAAATACATACCCTAACAATAGTTGGAAATTAGCATAATATGAATTTCTTTTGAATCCCATCAATGGGGTTATTAAAGTGACCTCATTATAATGGGTTTGCCTATACAATGTAATCTTGAATCATAGCAGACAATTGACACATTATAATAAGACTTCATTATAGTTATACAATATTCAAAACTAACAATTATATTCTCTCTGGTTTAAATACCTCCATTTTGTAAAAAAGAGTATTTAAAAAATTTTGTAAAACTGCATTCAGAAGCACCTCCTAATCAAAACTGACCTAGCTTTTCTTTCCATAAAGGTTTAGCCTGAGGATTATTCCACGCAAGGACATTATGTTATTTGCTGCAATACAACTTATAGAAAGGAGTGAAGAAGCTGAGGGGGAAGACACTTAAATTATCCCAGTGGCACTCATGGCTATAATGTTATCTTCATTCTTCACAGAGAGGTATACTTTATTTCTTTGTATATCAATTAGTCCTTCCAGCATGATGGACTGCTTCTTCCACACTATTGCCTTTGGCTTTTGGTCTTGCTCATTCAGTGACACTGACAACCATCATCTTCAAACTGTACACACAAGAGAGGTTTACTGCTTCTTTCTTTTCAGCATCTTTTGAAGGAACTTGGATCCTTTCTGCTACTTCTCATCTGTGTTCCATTAATAACTATCTAAAATGGTTACTACCTCCAGTGGACATTTGTCCTTCATATTTTAGTAGCAGTTCCAAGTTCCAATACTGGTAAAATTATTAGAATAATTCAAATTGTTTACTTTGTTGCCTGAATCTACTTTCTGAGTCCCTATCAGATGCCTTTTATGGCAGGCAGTAACAACAAAGTTACGAATATTCTTCCCTTCTAATTCAGTGATATTATTCTGAGAAGTTCATAGCACTTGACAGATATAAAGTACTCATTTGTTGTCATCTTACTACATTTTATGTGAAAAGCAACAGTAAGTCCATTTCATAGATGGGCACCTAATATATAGAGATAGAAATCCATATTCCTGATTCCAGAGAGTAGTAAAGAAAGGAATATCCTGAAATCTCCCTTCCTTAGACTATGTCTCTAGATAAATATACTTTTAGCATTTTACTAATATATCTGCAAAATATTTATTTATATTTTAATTGTTAATTTCTTAGCACTCATTTTGCAAAACCAAAGTATTCTGGTATGCTAGCCTCTTTTTATTTCACAAGAGTAGATTTGGAAGGGTGAACTAGAAAGGTGATTTCAAGATATTATTACTGATAAATTCAAGCTAAAATAAGGATTTAACAAGTCCTCTTTGGTATTTCTTTTCCCTTTTCCACAACTATACTATTGTGTACCTTAGGTCCTACCCTGTTTGATTTTTTCTTACAGAGAATAATTCTTATAGTATTTATTCAACCATCACTTACTTATTTTTAAAGCTAAAGCTCTTTCTAAATATATTGTAGATAACAATAGCAAAGATTTATATCACAAGGAAATATTGTTTTTAGTGCCTTGCTTATATTATTTACATAATATAACTACTCTATGAGGCAAGTACTCTTACTATCTTCATTTTACACATAAGAAAACAGGTTTTTAAAGTTAAGTAAATTATATGGGGTTGCACACTAATAACAGGTGGATCTAAGATTCAAACCCAAGTAGTCTGTGCTCTTAACCACCATATTACTTTTATTATTTCTATGCCCATTATGGAGCAGAATTAACCAGTCTGTTATGCTACTCCATAAAAGGTTCTATGGGCAACACTATTTTTCTAGTTAGAACTGTAATTAGAAACAGAACTTACCATCACTTGCATGTACACTTGCTTATATGTTTATTTAATATATGATCTCTCTTAGCCATAGGGCCCCATAAAAGCTGAGTGCATATTCTGACATAGAGTAGGTATACAATTAGGACATATATTTAAAGGAAACTGAATATCTAATTTTTATTTGTGGGTTCTTCACATAGGAAATTTTTGTTTTTGCCTTATTCTCAAAATTGCAAAAATTCTGACCTCAAGGAACAATGTACTCTTCCCTCTTTAGTGCTATTATGTGGAATAGGACCCTTTCAACTTAACAGTCTTAAATGCAAAGTCAATTATTGCTCTAATTATTTATCTAAATGGTCTAATTTTGTACCTATAATTTTTATACTGGTACCATTTTACTATGGAGCTTTTATTTTTTCATGCATAAAAAATAGAGAATGTATATTTTGGGCAAGTCTCTGCCTGGTGGAAAGATTAAATGCAAAAATAATCCAAAAGTAAGCAGACTTAAGGAGAATCGTAACATTTCTTTTCAAATATCAGAAATGTCATCTAAAGGAGGAATTAACCTTCTTTTGAGTACAGCCAAGAGCAGAATTAGGACAAGTGGGTAGACATTACAAGGTGACAGATTTCAGTTTGATATATTTAGACTTTCAAACAACTAGAGTTGTCTAAATAATGAACTCTTTGATAGAAGAAGTGATGATTGAAATGTTCAGGCTGGAATGATGGAAAGGGCATGCTAGGGCTTTGAACATGATGGTCTTTGTTCTCTTCAAATTCTGAGATACTATGATTACTATTATAAAGTTTGTAATTTTATACAAATGCTAAGCTAACTAGAGATATAGCACTGACAAAATCTATGATAACATATTCCTTGATTGTCTTGATTCTTGATTCTAAGGGAAATATTGATTGAAAAGGTTTCCAAACAATAAATCAACACAATTGGAATTTGGTGCCTTTCAGTACTTTAAATTTGATAAATAAATAAATAGATAGATAGTTACTATGTTCGCAGATTAAATCAAAACTTTTTTTTTTTTTTTTTTAACCAGGGCATAAAAACAAACTCCAAAAAGAATAAAGTTAGTCCTACTGAGGAATGTATTCATATGCATTTGAATAAATGCTGATCCAAAAAAGTATCTAAGAAAGTCCTGAAAGCATGATTTTACTGTCTATACTGACTGATAGTAGACTTATGAGTTCTGGTTTCCAAGGAATCTTTGAATAAGGACAGTGATATGGTTTGGTTGTGTCCCCACCCAAATCTGGTCTTGAATTGTAATTCCCATAATCCCTATGTGTAATGGGAGGGACTCAGCGGGAGGTATTAATAATTTAATCATGGGGCAGTTACCCTCATACTTTTCTCATGGTTCTCATGATAGTGAGTTCTCTTGAGATCTGATGGTTTTATAAGGGGCCTTTCCCCCTGTGGCTCTGCACTTCTACTTGCTGCCACCATGTGAAGAAGGACGTGTTTGCTTCAACTTCCACCATGACTGTAAGTTTCCTAAGGCCTACCACACCCTGCTGAACTGTGAGTCAATTAAGCCTCTTTCTTTTACAAATTATCCAGTCTTGGGTATGTCTTTATTAGCGATGTGAGAACAGACTAATACAGTAAATTTCTCATTTCTATATTTGGTCCCTCCCTAGCCAGTCTGAAAGAAATAAAATAATGTAGGTCTAGTGTATCCATCCTTCTATGTAAAGTGAATTCTCTGTTTTAGCCAGAAAGATTTTATGTTTGTATTTCTCTGTGCCTTGCTCAACATTTTCCTTCTTCTTTACTCCTACCATAATGTCTTCCTCTTTCAAAACCTGAATCCCACTCAATTTTAGCTTAAATTTTACAAAAATTTCACTGATTACTCAAGTTCACTTTTAATCTTTCTCTTTGAATAAATCTTTTTGCCTGAATTGGCTGAATATTTCTGGTACCAGGTTTATACTGTCTTGAATTGTCATGTGACTATTTTAGGAGTATATGTACTTCAGCTTTGGGTTCGATAAAGCCCAAGGTGCTTCATAAATATTTGTTACATTGAACAAAGACAATGAATGCTGTTCTTACCAAACAGGAAGGTGCTAAGTGTGCCTATGATCTGAAAAAAAAAATTCTGCTTTCAGTGGACAATATAAAAATAATTATAAACCCCAGATATACAGTGGGCTATTGCTAAAAAGCTATTTTTTCACATATCTGGCTGTTTCAAGACAAGTCCTTATTTTTAAGACATATCCACCAGTTATGTTTGTAGTTAACAATAGCTATTAGAAACACAATGGTTAGTAGCAAAAGTATTTGGGGCTACCATATCTAATTAGAGATAATAGGTAGTACTGTTAAATGAGGAAGAAAAAGAACGAATACTGAGCATCTACAAAGATTACAGGCATTATGTTAGATCCTTTTACACACATTTATTGCCATTTACTACTTGAAAAATCTTGGGCAAGTCAATGAATCAATCTGTGTCACAGTTTCTGCATCTTTAAGGCAGAGCTAACAATAAATAGTACCTGCCTTATACATATATTATTTATTTATTTATTTTTTAAGACAGCGTCTCACTCTGTCACCCAGGTGGCCCCATCTTTGCTCACTGCAACTTCCCCCTCCTGGGTTCAAGTAATTCTCGTGATTCGGCCTCCTGAGTAGCTGGGACCACAGGCATGCAACAACATGCCTGGCTAATTTTTTTGTATTTTAGTAGACACGAGTTTCACCATGTTGGCCAGGCTGGTCTCAAAATCCTGACCTCAAGTGATCCACTGCCTCGGCCTACCAAAGGGCTAGGATTATAGGCATGAGCCACCACACCCAGCCTTGTATGGTTGTTTTGAAGACTAAATGAGTTAACATATGCTTAAAAGAGTTCCTTGCACATAGTAATTGCTATATGTGTTAGTTTTTATTATTGACTATGTTTATTATTAGAATCAACAATTTTGAGAGGTAGGTAGGCATCAGCTAATTTAGCAGATGAGAAAACAGATTTGAACAGGTCAACTTGCCTTAAGTTTCATAGTTAGTAAGTAGTAGCACTAATATTCAAATTTAGGAATCTGACTCTGTAGTGTAAGCCTTTTCCACTATACCATATTGCATGCCAACATGTTTATACGAAGATATGACATGGGACCTATTTCATAAAATTACGATGAGCTCCTTAAAATGGGATCAAATATAACCATCAAATCTGACCATAGAGGAATGGAACATTTTATTAAATTCAGTTTTAAATACTTCAGGTATAAGGGTTTCTAGTATTCTGCTTTGTAAGCAATTTAATATTAATTTTCCTATTTGCATAGAACAATTTTAAGATAGTCAAAATCCTAGTTCAATATGATTAATTTTAGCCTTACCATGTATAACAGGTATTTTATTTTACTCAAAACAAAATCAAATTTTCTATCAAAAACAAATGATTAAATATGGTGTTTTTTGCTATGCTTCTGTAGGAGAGTGTTTTCTGATTGTTAAAATGGCCAATATTAACTTTTAGGTGAGTTATTAAATGTAAGTTCTCACTATCTTTCACAGGAGTAACAAACTGAAAATCATTAACATGTTGTTAGTAACTTAGGTCAATTTTTTCTTCTTCCCAGTGCTTATACAGTGTTCTTATTTTTGAAGCATTACAATATAAGAAAGAAAAATGACTAATGACTGCATAAAATAATACTTGTCTTATAGTAACAAACACTCAAAATTATGACACACATACATTTCAATAAATTGTTTATAAAACAATTTTTATAACTCTCTTTAATTTGTATCAGAAAACTGACATATTCATGAAAAAAATCTAATAACCTAAGTGAAAAAAGTTTGTAGAAAAGCTTAGATATTTATCTGCCCCAAAGAAACCTAAAAGTAGCCTATAAACAGAATATACCTTCTAAAATTCAGAGTCTTTTCCTAGGTCAGGTTTCTTTGGTACCATTTTGTAGTATTTTCCCTCTTTCAGCATTGGTCACTTTGTCTGATGCCTCTTCACTTCCATAATGAAACAGTTATAAGAACCTTTTTTTTTTTTTTAAAGCGGAGTCTCCCTCTGTTGCCAGGCTGGAGGGCAGTGGCACGATCTTGGGTCACTGTAACCTCCGCCTCCCGGGTTCACGCCATTCTCCTGCCTCAGCCTCCCGAGTAGCTGGGACTACAGGCGTCCGTCACCACGCCCGGCTAGTTTTTTGTATTTTTTAGTAGAGACGGGGTTTCACCGTGTTAGCCAGGATGGTGTCGATCTCCTGACCTTGTGATCCGCCCGTCTCGGCCTCCCAAAGTGCTGGGATTACAGGCTTGAGCCACCGCGCCTGGCATAAGAATCCTTTTAAATAAATATTCCTTATGTCAAATTTATAGTTTCCTGGTATTTTTGCTATTTCTTCTTTTGTTTGATTATTTCATAATCATCAATTATATCAGCATACTTTTGTTATGAGGCATTTCTAAGAATGTCAGTTTAAAACTATTTTTTGTCAGTTTAAAATTATTTTTAAGAGTGAGATTTTACTTAATGTATAACAAATTCATTTTATTAATTTTTAAAGTGCAGAATTCTATATATTACTTAGAATAAGGGATATTTTATTTTTGTTATGCTGTATTGTCTGTTGAGACAATGGGGCAATACACTTCAATATGGCAGAAAAGCATTTTTTCTTTGCTCCACCTAAAATTAAAAATATAAGGAAGGAAACCTAACATTATTCGGATTACTAAAGAACCAAAGGTAAAAGTCAGAAAATAAAAAAATGTGAGTAAAGATGACTTGTTGTCATCCAACAGGCCAGGGGTGGACAGGCTTTTCTGCAAAGCATCAGATGATAAATATGTCAGGCATTATAGGCTATATGATCTTGTTTACAACTTCTCAACTCTGCTATTTTAGCCATAGACAATACATAAATAAGTGTAGCTTTGTTCTAATAAATCTTCATTTATAGACCCTAAAATTCAAATTCCAAATAATTTTTCACCTCACAAATATTACTCTCCTTTTGATTTTTTCACCCATTTAAAAATGTAAAATCTATTCTTAGCTTCCTGGACATGCAAAAAAAGGTGACAGGCTGGATTTGGCTTGTGGGCCACATTGCTTACTCCTGTGAAAGTCTCACCCATTTTTTAACTTCGGTACCAAGCATGGCACTGAACACATATTGAGGATTAAAAACAAAAGCTTCACGAATGAGCAAGTGGACGAGACATACATGTATGCTAGGCTTTTATTTAACTTTTTAACCTATGATCAAAATAATATATTAGCATACAACCCTTAATTCAATACAGCTTAGTGCTCTAAAAGTACTGAAAGTTATTTTGTGCCTTTTAAATATTTAACAGTTTAACATTTTCTAATTTACTATATTATCAAACACTTTTAAAATAAGCATAGAGATATTCTTTTGTTAGTATTTCTTAATCTTTTAGCTCTTCTAGAATTTATGCATTTATGTCTAAAGGGCCCTCACTTCATCTTGCTTATATGTCTATAACTAAACTTTTATTTTTTAAGAATGATAAAAGATCCTTTATATAATAATACCTTTTTTGGACATACATTGCTTTGAAGTAATAATGGGACATAAAGGGATAAAACTTTGTATAGAAATGAGTTTTACGATCTGTGGAACTTTATAATTACGAATATTTCACTAGTGACAATCAATTATCCAACCTTTATCAAATCAGAAAAAAATGCAATCTGGCCAGCCACGGTGGTTCATGCCTGTAATCTCGGCACTTGGGGAGGCTCAAGTGGGCAGATCACTTGAGGTCAGCAGTTTGAGACCATCTTGGCCAATGTGGTGAAATCCTGTCTCTACTAAAAATATAAATATTAGCTGGGCTTGGTGGTGCACGTCTGTAATTCCAGCTACTCAGGGGGCTGAGGCACGAGAATTGCTTGAACCTGGAAGGTGGAGGTTGCAGTGAGCTGAGATCATGCCACTGTACTCCAGCCTAGGTGACAGAGTGAGACTCTGTCTCAAAAAAAAAAAAAAAAAAAAGCAAGCAATCTATTATTAAAAACCATTTTTTATTATCAAAACAAAATTCTAAAAAGTTGATGAGTGAGAACTGTCATGATTTTATATGTAAGTTTTGATAGCATCTCATATTTACAGGCAGGCAGAAGGCTAGAAGGCATGCAAGTATCAGATGAACCATATTCTATGACGCAGGGCCTAAAAATATTAAATTCATAATTTAGGAAAATCAATTCTGATAGCCCTATTCCTATAAAATATGTAATAAAGAAGATAAACTTTACTATACTTGATATTCTATTCTCATTTTTAATAGACCTAGAGGGAAATCTGTTGATTAAATTTTTCATTTTATCTAGAGCTCATACCCATTGACAAAATCTTTGGATTTTTTTTTTCATTCATCATATTCATCATTTTCATCCTTCATTTTTTTTTCTTACAACACACACATCCTACAAACAATTTTCCTTTGTGCTTTACAGATTAAGATAATTACTGACAATTATTGACTATAAAACATTAGGATTTTTAAGGGAGAAGTTTTACATTGTTTTACTTTTATCAAATTAGTATTTGTGCTTTCTACCAATAACTTCTGACCTCATTAAAAAATATTTGCAATCCTGATGTATACAATATAGGTAAATGTGTCTAGAAACAGCTGCTTCTCTTTAGATCCAACTATCAAAACAGACAAACTACTATATAATTCAGGTACAGAATTATACTTCTAAATTCCTATCTGATACGTCAATATTATATGTTAGATATTATAAGAACTGCAACTACTCTAGGGTGTAAAGTAAAAGGGAAATTAGTAGAATTACTTTTTAGTGGGCCTATATTGATTTTCTGTTTGCTTATTTATTATTTATTTTATTGGTATTATTTAATAGCCCATGAGTGCTACAAACTTTTGCCATATTCATATCATATGTATTTATATATACATATAAAATATGAAGTGAACCTATTAAAGATCAAGTTATTCACAATCAGGTAAATTGCTTCTTTTCAAAAACAGATATTAGAGAAGACATATTTATGTATATTTTAAATCCATTTAAGAAACCCCTAATATAATTTTACCTATGTAGCTGCTATAGGTATATATGAATATAAGAGCACCTCAATAGTTTTCAAATAACTGAAAAACTTTAAGAATAAAATACTGCTCAATTTCTGAATAATGAAATATACAATACCATGGAAACAGACACTTGTCAACTAGTAGTACCAAAAAAAAAAGAAAAAAAACCCAGATACTAGAACAGCAGAAATTTAAGATTTGTGATTTATATAATATAGACATGGAAGAGATCAAATATGAAGCTTACCCTATCAAAATTAAGAAATAAGTTAACAAGATTCTAAAGATTTCATGGACATACCTTAAATCAAGTAAAAGGCTATAGTTGTCTATTTGGTATTACATACAAAAAAGAAAAACTATCAAATGTGTCCATTTGGTGGTTACAAAAGTTACATCGCAACAAATAAAAAAATTTGACTCTTATAAATTAACTCTTACATAAAATACCAGGAATAGTTCTCATTGAACAGTCACAGCCACCTTGGTAAATAGG